CGAAAATATCGTTCTCATCGAAGAATTCCTGAAAGTATTCTTGAAGATGATGAAATTATAATGTTACGTAGTGTTGTTGTCACCAGCGAGTCTGTCGCTAAAATGGAGCACTTTTCGCGTGACGATAATCCGAACACTTGGATTATGGCACTAAAATAAGGTAAGGCTTTAACTCCGAGGCGGTTACAATTTGGCCAACTTTCGCGCACTTGCTAATCTCTTCTTGATCATTTTTCCCTCTAGGCACATCTCAAGATTACAAGTGTTACTCTCTTATGATGCAAAAGTAATGTCGTGTCTCTTCTTTTCAAAGGCATTTACTTTACTGTAGTGGCGCGAACTTAGTTTTTACTTTAAAGAATGTATCTTGTTTATTGTGCGAAGCGAAATAGCATTTATTAATAAAGCACGAGTGTGCCCAAAACAGAGAAGTGTTCTAAGACGAAACTTAAGTCTCTGATTTAGAACTTAGAACTTGTCATTCGAAACTAACTCTAAAACTATTCTATCTATATGCCTTGTTAACGCGTAAACACCCATTATATGTTCCCATAACATTCCCCCACGCTTATTTTTATGTGCTCCTGCGCATATAATTATACTAAAACCACTGGTCCCTACTGTATCTTTTGCCGATTGGCCGGGGTATTAGTTCATCTGCCCCAGTCACTATAGGATGGTTGCTTGTCGTTATTTGGGGTAGTAGAGTATCGGATGGTTGGATGGTGCTGGTTAGATCAATAGTGCAGTCATCTTGTTGTTGGGTACTCGGTGGTCTTGATTCAGTGTTGTGTTCTCCACCTTTTCATGTTTCATCATGGGATATATTGCGATTCCTTTGGTCCTGGCGAATTGTTTGTTCACTTGCCCCTATATCTTGCTGCTATTAGACTGGCATACCGTCCCATCCATAGCTCCCATATCCAATACCTTATGGCCTATGTCATCATCCATTGCTTTCGTTAATGCTAGCCATCGTGTCATGCTAGTCGCGGCTTCACGGTTCCATTTGTTTTCTCCGG